GAGAAGGCATGCTATTCCCATGTATCCTTCCTCTATGCCACACCCACCCTCAGGGACTGCACTGCCAGCATCCCTCCCTGAGAAGGCCATCTACCCTCTCTCCCATGCCATTTGGCAGTGTGTCAGATTTCCTACCTTGGAGTAGGTACCTAGACAGCCTGACAAGCTATAAGGGTATGAGGGTCCTCCAGAAAGGGCTCTGTCCCACAGGATGGGTGGCTGTTTCAATTTCACACCCAGGGACTCTGGTCACTGTAGGTTTTTTTTCTTTCTCTTTTCTCTTTGGGGGCCTGCCACCCAGCTCCCAAACAAATACACGAAGTCTTATTCTTACTTATGAATGCCCAGCCTTAGCTTGGCTTGTTTCTAGCCAGCTCTTCTTAACTTAAATTATCCTAATTGCCTTTTGCATTTGGGCTTTTATCTTTCTCTATTTCTGTGTACCTTTCTTTACTCTTCCTCCATGGCTTGCTGTGTGGCTGGGCGACGGGCCCCTGGCATCCTCTTCCTTCTTCTCTTGCTCCTAGATCTTCTCTTCCAAGATTTCTCCTCCTATTTAGTCTCTCTGCCTGCCAGCCCTGCCTATCCTTTCTCCTGTCTAGCTATTGGCCATTCAGCTCTTTATTAGACCAATCAGGTGTTTTAGACAGGCACAGTAACACAACTTCACAGAGTTAAACAAATGCAACATAAAAGGATACAAAACGTCTTTGCATCATTAAACAAATGTTCCATAGCGTAAACAAATGCAACACATCTTAAACTAATATTCCACAACAGGCCACCACAGTCCAAGCATGTTTCTCTCTACCTAATTTGAAACAAATGCTTTTCCATAAGAACAATGACTTCTTGGAAACAGTCTGCACTTTGAAGGAGGCCTCAAACTAGAATCCCGAGTCTGATCTTGTCAGCTGCATGCTTTCTGGACAATTAATTGTTGATACTGTCTGGGCCTCAACTTCTTGAGCAGCAAAATGGGCATAAGACCTTTGACTCTACAGGGCATCTTCGAGCACTTCACATGAGGCATGGCTTTTCCTAAGAAGATATGCCCAAACATCTGTGGACCTCAGAGAGTGCACTGTCCACAAACCAAAGAAATGATTCCAGGCTGGCTCAGTGGACAATGTGTTCACTGATAAGTGTGAGGATGACATGGGTTTGGATCCCCAGCACTCACACCAAGCTTGATGAGTAGCACCCACCCACAATCCCCCCTATAACAGGATGGGAGGCTGAAGCAGGGAATCTGCTGATGCTCACTGGCAAACACCAAAACAAGCAAAGACCCTGTTTCAGAGCAAGGTAGGCCGTGAGGACCAACAGCTAAGGTTGTCCTCTGACTTCCACATGTGTGCTATGGCATGTGTCCACACTCAAACATACTCATATCCTACACAAAGATTTCTTTTGAAGTAAAAGAAACTAGTCTATCTAAGCCCAGCGTGGTCAGCCAATGAGTTTACTGGGCTATTTACAGGACTACAGGCAAAGGGTTAATTAGAGGAGCATGGCTGATTTTGGTAGCTGCATCACCGACATTCCACCCTGCCTGACAAGCAGCTGAAGCTTCAGCACTAGAGTTCCCTGCCCAGTGTGCAGGCAGCTTCACTGAAGAGTCTCCTCTCTCCACCCCAGCAGCTGTTTATTGCTTATATAACTTTAAGGAGGGACCCCAGGAGTCTTGGGAGTTTCCTGAGTTCCAGAGTCCTACAGCCTCCCTCCTCCCTCTAGAAGGAATGTTACAATTGGTAGGAAATGGTGAACTGTGAAAGTATTTAAGTTACCTATTAGAAATGGCCTATTAGAAGGTGCCTGATAGATGTTTGCTTCTACCCCAAGTGTGAAGAAGTGTAAACAGACCTGCTGCTTGCTTGCTCTCATTTCATTACACTTCCTCCAAATAGCTTTCCTGGGGAAGCATGAAGAATCAATATTTGCAAGTCACACTTTAGTACGAAGCTCTGTCCTTGTTTGTCCTGTGATATAAACCATGCCCATATTCCAGGGAGGTCCTCGGTCCTTTCCCAGGCCTCCCATAATAAATGACCAGGAGTTGGGTGGGATAAACAGCAGAAATTTATTCTCTCAACTCAAGAAGCCAGGCACCTGAGATGGCGTGCCAGCAGGGTGGGGAAACCTATCTGGTGTTATCGGCAGCCTCTGATATCCCCTGGTTTTTGGTTGCATGACTCCGAAATGAATTCATCTTCCAGTATGGACACCAGCCACCCAGACATAGGACCACCCTGCTATAGTATGAACTCACATTAACCAAGTACATTATTTTCAAATGCACTCACATTCTGAGGTTCTAGTGCACATGAGCTTTGGCAGGACACTACTCAGTCCTCCACACCTACTGTTAGTGTTAGAAGACACTGGGGCCAGGGAGATGGATGTGGAAATCCTCAGCGGTGCAGGCAGAATTTGCTGACTTCACAATTTTTTTCTGGGTATAACAAGCCTTTTTCTGTCCTGCCAGCCAGCTCCCAAATAATGATACTGAGACTCATTATTAATTATGAAAGCTTAGCCTTAGGTTAGGCTTGTCCCACTAGCTCTTATAACTTAAATTAACCCTTTTTAAAATTAATCTACATTCTACCACGTAGCTTTTACCTCTCTCCCATTTTGTTTGTCTGACTTTTTCCAAGTCGTGATGGCATCCCCCATGGAAGTCCTGCTTATACTTCTGCCTAGCTATTGGCCATCCAGCTCTTTATTAAACCAATCATAGCAATACGTCTTCACACAGTGAATGAATACCCCACACCTGGGACTATTTTTAAATTCACAGTTATAAGAACCACCCCTGTTCTAGAGAACAGCATGTGTCTTTCCAAGGACTGTCCAAGTCTTCTCCTGAGGCATGGTGGAAACCCCTCTCCCTTTCTCCCTTCCTTAAGTCCCCCACTGTGGAACAATCCTTTTCTACACTATGACTATGTATTACTGTCATTTGCTAATAAAAAGCTGATTGGCCGATAGCTGGGCAGGAAGAGATTGATCATGAGAGCCAGATTAGGAGAATTCTGGGAAGAGGAAGGGCGGAGTCAGAGAGTCTCAGGCAAACACAGAGAAGCAAGATGAGAATGTCATACTGAGAAAAGGTACCAAGCCACATGGCTAAACATAGATAAGAATTATGAGTTAGTTTAAGTGTAAGAGATAGCTACACCTGAGCTATTGATCAAGCATTCACAATTAATGTAAGCCTCTGTGTGGTAATTTGGGAAGTGGCTGCTGGGTATTTGGGAGTAGGTGGTCAGGACAGGAAATATCCACTTACAGCCTCTCACTCATTTCTTTCACCTCTTGGAGATGACTTTATTGTCAAGCACAAGACCTATGTCCAAAGCATAACCAACAAGGGTTTGTTAGAATGCAGGGAAGTTCTAGAACTCAAGAATTCGCCCTTCTTCACAGTTCCTAGAACTGGGAAGGGAGGCTTGCATTTGTGTGCCCACCTTTTACCCCAATTCCACTGATCTACAACCATCTGTGGCAGTCTTTGCTCTATGTTTTGGATGCCTCCATGTTCTGTGCATCCATGGGAAAGAAATCTTCCACAGACTCTAGGTCCCAAGGATCTTGCCAGGCAAGAGATTATGATTGGTCCAGACCTTTCTGGGTCAGACATCCATTTATTAGCCAATTAATAGTGGCCACCTGTCAGTTGTGTAAATGAAGCTAAAGGCAAGGGTTGTGGGTGGGGGATGGGAGTGAAGGTGTGGACATGTGGGGGTGGAGAGGTGTCCTCTGCAAAGCTACAAGTGGGCAGTCTACCTGAGGAGTTGGCAGGCTTGGGCACCATGAAGCTTTGATAAGGACCTTAGACAAATTCCCTGGCCTGCCTGACCTAGGGAGGGTATTTTATTCTTGAAATCCTGCATGTTGTTGACCTGTGGCTTGAGTCTTTTTCCACTAAAACTCCCTGGGTCTCACTTTTACATAGACCCAGGTATAGGGGTGTTCCTGTCTCTGGCCAGTTACTTGAAACTTCTTCCCTCCTCAAAAGAGAACACCAATTTTGTGGACTTATGTTGTAGACATGCATCTGCCTAACTAGGCATAGTGACATTCTGTGGCAGGTGAGGCCTGGCTTAAAACAATGCTCTGCTCTATGTGAAGTGATTTGCAAGGCTGAGGGAAAAGCCATGGTCATGAGTCTTGAGAATTGCCCACAGGAAAGGGTAGCCATGTTTCTCCTGGAAAATACTCAAGTAGAGGAGGCCTAGACCTTGATTATGTGTCCAAGGGTTGTGTCCTGAAATGGCTGAGATGAGGAAGAAGCTGGCGATGACCTTGACATTCCTTACCTGCAAGTCTTTTCTTGGAAATGGTGGCCATGACCCTGGGGACTCTGGGACCTAGGGCCAGTGGAAACCCAGAAGTGGCATCCGAAGTGACAGGCTAGCTTTGGAAATCAGCTGGCCTTCATGGTCCACATGGGCTGTCCCTACTGGTTCAATTACCCTACCAGTCATTACATTTGAACTCCATCTTGTGGGGTTAAAAACTCCAAGAAGACCTGTAAGAGTCCCCGTGTAGTAACGTGTCCATAACTCACCCCTTGGATCAAACAGTTGGTAGCCCCTTTCTAGGGTCGTTAGTTGGAACATTAATGTGTCTTTAGCTGTGTGTATTTGTGTTAGTTTTAATTAGGTTATATAGTTCTAATACAGTTTTACTGTGATAAATGGAAGTTCTCTGGGTAAGTTCCCCCTTTTTTCTTTTTGAGATTGTAATATAACATTTCTTCCTTCCCTTTCTTCTCTCTAACCTCCACTCTCATATACCTTCTCTCTCCTTCAAATTTATGCCCTCTTTTTTCACTAATTGTTTCTCATGCATATATGGACACACACACACACACATACACACACACACACACACACACACACACACACACACACACACATATATATATATATATATATATATGTATATATATATTAAATATAACCTGCTCAGTCCGTATAATATTACTTGTATATATGTTTTTAGGGCTGACCATTTGGCACCGGATGACTAATTGGTGTGCTCTTCTCTGAGGAAGACCACTTTTCCTGCTCCCAGCTTTCCTCAGTTGCTTGTAGTTCTTTGTGTAGGATTGAGTCCTGGTGGGCTTTTCCCTACCCACTTTGGCATATCTCTTGATATCATACTTGATCAGCTCATGTTGAGGCAGTCATGTTGGTGACACTTTATGGGTGTAGCTGTTGACATTGGTAGGAGACAACGCCTCACAGCAAACTCCCTGATCCTCTGGCTCTTAACAATCTTTCCGGCCCCTCTTCAACAATGTTCCCTGAGCCTTAGGTGTGGGAGTGTTTTGTGATGTCTCCAGTGGGGCAGGGCTCCACAGCTCTGCATTTTGATTGGCTGTGGTTTTCTGAAGTGGTTTCCATCTGCTGCAAAGAGAAGTTTCCTTGGTGAGGGGAGAAGACTACACTTGTCTGTGAGTAGA